CAATTATTTTTCCCCAACAGTGATAAACGATTGTAACTGTAACAAGTTACTAGTGTATGCGTGATTCGCAAACTCATTCAGTTGTTGTGTTTGCAAGTTGGGACAGAGTAGCTCGTGTTTTATATGATCGCATGTCGGCATAGACATCATACACTAGGACGCTATATACGCTGATAGTATCACTATAGGTCGCGTTTACCGCAAGAGTTTCTGTACGACAGTCGTACTACGGTGAGAGTCATAGCACGACTGCAATACGGAGGAGCACCACTGGTGAAACCGTAAAAGTGGGTACTGTATTATACAGTACCCAGTTCAGAGGTTGCACGACGTATACAGTCTGTATACGTCGTGCAAACTCTGAGAGTGTCACTATCTCTGATGACAATTAATATGTTGGGAATAATACTGTTGGAGATTACTGTAATTGATGGAACTTACTGTAATTCCAGTCTAGGCTTGATTGTTCCACTTTTCACATGATTTATTTCTATATCCAGATGGAGATTGTGAAGAGTGATAGATGAGTCATTTCGATTCACTCTAGCCTTATGCGTTTTATACTCCATTGCAATACTCTGAATCGATAGTATCGATTCGATATGTAACTCAGAGTAATGATGCGAGATAACGTTATCTGTATCGTCGTGACAGTTTTGAACATCAGAGAATGCGCTAGCTTGCTATTGTAATGGGAACGGAATTTCTCCTCGGTGGTGATTTACCACCGATTATGCGTTCGGCATAGACAACGTAAGTCTGCTCTCTTGCTCGTGATGTAGGACTGTTCTGTCGTCACTACAGCTTAGGAGGTGTATTCATATATCATATATCTGCTTATATCGTATATGCCACATCAGGGGCAACGCTGATCTCTCAGGAGATTGTTATAGTCAACTCAACGAGTTTTCATACCACCACACTAACACCGCGAGTTTTCCAACGCAAATTCCTCGAGATCCACGCAGCCTCAGAAACAATGTTCACTCAATTGGAGACTTTGCAGTTGATGAAGCCGCAATCTCTGTAGTGTTTCAGTTCATTGATGCTGTCCTGAATATCCTCCAGGGCTCGATGCGTTGCTCGTTTCCCAGTGAAGGCTTCAAGAACTTCCGGATCCCAGCGCTTGGCAAGCTCCTTTATTGTGCTAACGTCAAGAACACGATAATGCAAGTAACCTGAGAGTACAAACAGATGCGACACATCAGGTGAATTCCTCGGTCTTACCACTGAACCTCGGCATGTACTTCTCAAGGAACCTCTTGTCAACGTGAACAGTGTTGCCCGCCAAAAGCCCCTGACCTTCCTTCACAAACTCAGCTGCGACCTAACGAGTTGATATAGGGAGTGATTGTCGTGATGATTAAGCCAACCTCGGCGAGCTGCCGATCAGCCTCTCCCTCACTGATCGTTGATTTCAACACTTCTTCAGCAAGCATGCCAGGCACGGGCTGCCCATTTTTCCACCCGAACTGCTTACGGCACCAATCGTTCATACCGTTCAGCACCTCAGTTGGTTGGTGTATGACAAGATCCGGCCCCTGAAACCAAAAGTCCGATCTATCACCGTGGTGGTCCGAATAGAGCGTTCACTCTCAGTGTGTGTCAATTTGAACTGCAGATGTGAAAAAGGGCGTCAGTGACTGAAAACTGATCTAAAACTGTGCAGAAAATAGAGAACACTATCATGTTTTTACAATGTAAAAGTGTCAATGTCGACACTACATATGTTCCACACGCATCCATCAAAGAAAGAATGTCATACCGTCCAATACCGCACCCCGCCTACTTCGTGTAAAACGTTGAGGTGTTTATCAGTAACAATAAGCGCCACTTCAAGTAGACGATCGGTCTCCCCAAGAACCCCATAGGCATCACCAAGATTAGTCATCTCGCAGTCAACCCACAGGAGGACTCCCTGACAACCAACAGGTCAATACGACTTACAAACCATCGTCATTGTCAACGCAGTAATAAGACTTACATCGTTAGTTTTAGCTC